CACAAGGCAGTGGGATACCACATTCAAAATGCTGAAAGAAGAAAAAAACAAAAAACACCTGTCATCAAATAATTCTATATCCAACAATCCTTTAAAATGAAGGAAAAATTAAGACATTCTCAGATAAACAAAATCTGAGTGCGTCACTTGAAGGTCTCTGTCCTACAAGAAATGCTAAAGGAGGTTCTTCAGGCTGAAATGAAAAGACACTAGACAGTAACTTGAATCCACATGAAGAAATAAAGAACAATGGTAAAGGTTTTTTAGATAAACGTAAGAGTCAGTATTAAAATGTATTCTTGCTTTGTGACTCCTCTGTCTTTCCTACATGATTTAAAAGACAGTTACATAAAATAATATAATTTTATGTTGATGGGCTCACAATTTATAAAGATGTAATTTGCAGCATAACAACATAAAAGGGGGAGGAGCTATATAGAGCAAAATTTTTATATACTAAAAAAAAAAGAAGTTGCCATCAAGTTGATTCCAACTCATGGTGACATCATGTGTGTCAGAGTAGAACTGCACTCCATAAGGTTTTCAGTGACTATAATCTTAGAGAAGTATGTCACCAGGTTCTTCTTTGATAGCACCACTGGTGGATTCAGACTGCCAACATTTTTGGCTAGTAGCCAAGTGCAAACTGTTGGCACCACCCAGGAACCTTTTTATATACTATTGAAACTAAATTGGCATTAATTCAAATTAGATTGTTATGAATTAAGGTGTTAATTGTAATTACCAAGCCAACTACTAAGAAAATAACTAAAAATTATATAGTAAAAGAAATGAGAAGGGAATCAATATAGTACACTAGGAAATACCTAACACAAAAGAATGCAGTAATGGAGGAATTGCAGAATAAAAAAAGATATAAAAAACATATAGCAGAACGGTAGAATAAATTCTTCTGTATCTTTCACAGTCTATATTCGTACCGAAAATCAAGATCAAGCGAGCTTTCCCCCTTCTGCTTCACGGGACGTTTCTGTCCTCCCTGAGCTCACCTTAGGTATCAGTAATTACATTAAATATAAATGGATTAAACTCTGCAAGTAGAAGACAAAGATTGGTAGAATGGGTAAAAAAAACAAAAACATGATCCAACCATACGCTGTCTACAAGAGACATATTTTAGACCCAAAGACACAAATAGGTTGAAAGTAAAAGGATAAAAAGTGATATTCCATGCAGATAGTAACCATAGAGCTGGAATAGCTATACTAATATCAAACAAAATAGGTTTTAGACAAAAAATTGTTTCAGGAGACAAAGAAGAACATTATATAATGATAACAGGGTCACTTCATCAAGAAGATATAACAGTAATAAATATATGCCCCTAACAACAGATCCCAAAATATATAACACAAAAACTGACAGAATTGAAGGGATAGACGGTTTAACAATAGTTGGAGACTTCAGTGCCGTACTTTCAATAATAGATAGAACAAGTAGACGAAAGATAAACAAGGGTATCAAAGACTTGAAAAATACTGTAAACCAATCAGACCTAACAGACATATAAAACATTCTACCCCAAAACAGAAGAATACACATTTTTCTGAAGTCCACATGGAACATTCTCCAGGATAGACCATATGTTAGATCACAAAACAAATCTCAGTAAATTTAAAAAGATCGAAATCATACAAAGTATCTTTTCCAATTGCAGTGGAATGAAGTAAGAAATCAGTAACAGAAGGAAACCTGAAAAATTCCTAAATATATGGAAATTAACATACTGTTAACCAGTGGGTGAAAGAAGAAATCACAAGTAAATTTAGAAAATACTTCAAAATGAATAAAAAACAAAAGCACAACATACCAAAACTTAAGAGATGCAGTGAAACCAATGCTCAGAGGGAAATTTATAGTTTTAAATGCCTACGTTAAAAAAAAAGTCTTAACTCTGTAACCTAACTTTCCACCATAAGGGCTCAGAGAAAGAAGAGTGTAATAAACCGAAAGCAAGCGGAAGGAAATAATAAAGGTAGAAGCAGAGATAAATAGAGAGTGGAAAAGAATAGGGAGAATTAACAAAACCAAAAGTTGGTACTTTGGAAAGATCAACAAAATTGACAGACTTATAGCTAGACCAAGAAAAAAAGAAGATGCAAATTAGTAAAATCAGGAATGAAAGTGGGGACATTACTACTGGTCTTACAGAAATAAAAAAGATTATATAAGAGAATAATATGAGCAGTTGTATGCCAACAAGTTAGATAGCCTAGATGAATTAATAAATTCCTTGAAACACACAAACTAGCAAAATTGACTCAAGAAGAAATAGAAAATCTGAGTAGACCTCCTATAAGTTAAAAAATTGAATCAGTAATCAAAAAACTTCCAACAAACAAAAAAGTCCAGGACCAAGTGGGTTCACTAGTGAATCCTACCAAACATTTAAAGAAAAATTAATCCTTCACAAATGCTTCCAAAAATTAGGAGAACACTTTCTAACTCATTCTTTGAGGCAAATATTACCCCGATATGAAAGCCAGACAAAGACATCACCAGAAAAGAAAACTACAGACCAATATCCCTTGTGAGTATGTTGTTGTTAGGTGCCATTGAGTAAATTTTTTACTCATAGCAACCCCTTGTGACAGAGTACAAGTGTCCCATAGGATTTTCTAGGCTATAATCTTTACAGGAGCAGATAGCCAGGTCTTTCTCACACAGAGCCGCTGGGTGGATTCAAACCGCCAACCTTTGGGTTAGCAGTTGGGCACTTAACCATTGCACTACCAGGGCTGCTTTTGTGAATATAGACCTAAATAAATGGGAAGACATCCATGTTCATTGATTGGAAGACCTAATATTGTTATGATGACAGTACTCCCCTAATTTATCTGCAGATTCAGTGTAATTCGTATCAACATTCCAGAGGCCTTTTTTGCAGAAACGGAGAAGCCAACCCTCAAATTCATATGGAATTGCAGAGGGCCTCGAATAGCCAAAAACAGTCTTGAAAAAGAAGAATAAAATAGGAAGACACACTTCCCAATTTCAAAAGGTACTATAAAGCTACAGTAAACAAAACAGTGTAGTACTGGTATAAGGATAGACTTATAGATCAGTGGAATGGAATTGAGAATGCATAAGTAAACCCATATTTCTGTGGCCAACTGATTTTCAACAAGGATGCCAGGACCATTCAGTGGGGGAAGGAATAGTCTGTTCAACAAATGGTGCAGAAAAATGAAGTTGGACCCATACCTCACACCATAACTCAAAATGGATCAGTGACCTAAATATAAGAACTAAAACCTTAAACTCTTAAAACATAGGGGTAAAACTTTAAGATCTTGTTTTGGACAGTAGATACTTAGATATGGCACAAAAGCATAAGCAACAAAAGAAAAAATAGATATGTTGAACTTCATCAAATTAAAAACTTCTGTGCATCAAAGGAGTTTGCCAATAAAATGAAGAGAATGGGAGAAAATATTTGATAACCATATATATCTAATAAACATTTTATGTCCAGAATATGTAAAGAACTCCCACATCTCAACAACAAAAAGACAACCCAGTCAAAATGTGGACAAAGGATTCGAATAGACATTTCACCAAAGAAGATATACAAGTGGCCAGTAAGCACATGAAAAGATGCTCAACTTCATTAGTTATTAGGGGAATGCAAATGAAAACCACAATGAGATACAACTTCATACCCATTAGAATGGCTATTATCAGAAAAATAAGGAAAATAACAAGTGTTGACGATGATGTGGAGAAACTGGGACTCTTGTCCCTTGCTGGAGGAAATGTAAAATGGTGCAGTCACTGTGGAAAACAGTTTGGTAGTTCCTCAAAAAGTTAAATATAGAGTTACCATATGACTCAGCAGTTCCACTCCTAGGTATATACCCAAAATATTTGAAAGCAAAAACTCAAACAGATATGTGTGCACCAGTGTTCATTGCAGCATTAGTCACAGTAGCCAAAAGGTAGAAATAACCCAAGTGTCCATCAACAGATAAATGAATAAACAAAATGTGGTATATCTATACAATGGATTATTATTCAGCCATAAAGAGAAATGAAGTTCTGATACATGCTGTGACATGGATGAACCTTAAGAACATTATGCTGAGTGAAATAAGTCAGACACAAAAGGAAAAATAATGCATGATCTCACTTATATAAAATATCTAGAATCTAGAATAGACACATGCAGAGTGACAAAAATTTGTTACTGGGAGGAGGAGTTGTAGCACAGGTAAAATACTAATAGCAAACCAGTCATGTACTAGGCAGGAGTTGGGGAGTGGGAAATAAAGATGAGTAATAATCAAGAATCCCTACTTATAGTCTATGGGATAGGTGATAGTTGTCACACATAATTCTAACACAGTGAGATTAATGTTACAGTTCAGGTACCAGGGAGTTTGGTTTGGGTTGTAAAGTCATAATGAAGTGCATAAGACAAAAACCATGTGTTCTTGAAATCTGTTAAATCACCCGGATTTAGACCTTTGGAAGCACAAAAGTAATGGATTAAGGGAGGAACTACGTTTAATTTAGATTGCCTTCATAAAAATCCAGTGCACTGCTATGCATCTTGTAAGTGCTTAAATATTATTTCGTGGCTGATTTAGATTGCTTGAGGAGAGTTTGGGGCCTAATAAAAAGGAAAATTTGTTGCTTGTGAAGGTGATTTAACACAGTATGCACCCTGTTAAGGGAGGTGAAGTATCCCTACATTGCTCTAAGCATGGACAAAATAGTCATTGGTCTTGCGTTAATCTACACAGGGTGTGGTTTGGAGACCTCTCTGAAGAACTGTTTCTCTTTTGACAGAGCTTGTTCTTAGAATGTGTTTTGTTAGTAAATTAACTCATTTTCTATTGTAGCTGCCCAAGGAAATTGTCTTTCTTGGTGGGTGGCTTAGAAAGAGCAAAGGGTGGATTCTAGAAGAGATTATCATCCTTTTTCCTTAAATGACTTACAGAATGATTTTGACTCTTTGTCTTATTATTATTTTTTAGGAATCTAAACTCTAAGGTGGAGAGGAGTCAAAGCTGCAGTGATACTGCTCCGGACAGAACAAAGAGCAGACTCAGAGCAGCTCCAACCAGCAAAGCCAAGGTATACCTCAGACGCGGGCTTTGGGGCCTCTCTAGTCCCATCCCATAACTGCCTTTGTACATGGCCACAAAAGAAACTCTTCCAGATGAAAAGAAGCAGAGGGGATCCTGGGCACATTAGTTATCTTGAAGGATTCTGCTGACAGATATGAGGGAAGGTATAATAACCAGATGGGTAGAATTAGGGCCACCAGATGAACCTGTTTAAAAGCTCTAGATACATTTTTTGAAATACAGATTTTCAGCTTTAAGTGTATAGGATTTTCTTCTAAATGGTGCTTTCTAGGTTAGGGATTTTCCCCATTTCTTAGGCTCACATCACCCTTCATCCCTTTTCTTGTCCTTTCCTCCCCGTCCTGCCACCATCATAAAGGAATTACGACTGTGTGTATGTGTGTGTGTGTGTGTGTGTGTGTGTGTGTATATATATAATTTTTAAAATCTCTTCCAGGTAACAACTATGACCCCAGCATCCAACCCTATAATTGGCGTCCTCTTGTCCACTCAGAACAACCGCTGCCTCTCAGCCCCTGACTTAACCATCGAAAAGCGTCTACCCTTCAGCTCCCTCTCATCCTTGGCTTCCCTGCATAAGCCAGAGCGTTCTATCAGCCCTGAGAGCAATGACAGCATCTCTGAAGAACTAAACCATTTCAAGCCTATTGTCTGCTCACCATGCACTCCTCCTAAGAGACTCCCTGATGGCCGTGTGCTAAGTCCCCTCATCATCAAATCCACACCCCGCAACCTCACCCGAAGCCTGCAGAAGCAGACTTCTTATGAGGCCAGTCCAAGGATCCTCAAAAAGTGGGAACAGATCTTTCAGGAGCGGCAGATCAAAAAGACCCTTTCAAAAGCCACCCTCACTTCCCAGCCTCCTGAAACAGGGGAAGACTTACTAGTCTCTGAAGTTATCCATTCTAGCAAAGAGAAGCCAGTTCTGGCTTTGAATACAAGACTATCCAGTGGGCAAGTACTCTCGCAGTCTACTGGGCCTACCCCCACTGACTTTGATTTTTTCCCGTCTGCTAGCCAGACAAAAGCAGAACAGGGCAGTGATAGTAAAAGGAACACTGAGATTCCTTTGGAAACCTGCTGTTCCTCAGAACTCAAAGGGGGAGCCAGTGGGACTTCTTTAGAGGGTGAGCAGTTTGAGGGGTCAGGCGCAACCCCAGATGCCAAGTTAGACAAAGCTTGTATAAGTACAGCCATGAAAATCTCAGCAGTTAATTCAGTGCTACCCAGAAACAATGTTTTGGGTGGAGTCCTCAAAACAAAGAAACAGCTGAAGACACTGAATCATTTTGACTTGCCTAATGGTATACTGGTAGACGATCTAGGTGAGGAGCCGCTTCCACCCTTGCGTCGGGGACGGAAAAGACACTGTAAGACCAAGCACTTGGAACAAAATGGCTCCCTTAAGAAACTGAGACAAACCAGTGGTGAGGTGGGTCTGGCCCCAACAGACCCAGTACTGCGAGAGATGGAGCAGAAATTGCAGCAAGAGGAAGAGGATCGACAGTTGGCTCTGCAGTTGCAGCGTATGTTTGACAATGAGAGGCGGACTGTGAGTCGGCGAAAAGGAAGCATGGATCAGTATCTTTTACGGTCCAGCAGCATGACTGGGGCCAAGTAGCACTTAAAGGACAGTGTTACCTATTTTCTCAAGGTCTTTGGGCTTGATCATTTATCCTGAAGAGCTGACTGTTCTCACTTTGGGTTTCTCTTGATGGCAAAACACTGTTTTATATGGTTCTGAGAGGTTCCAGGGTCTTCGTAGTCAGTATCCAAGGGAACTGTGTCTCTGCCTCTCTGTGACCCAGACCAGAAGCACTCCTTATCCCCAGAGTGACCAACCCCTGAGGGCTTCTGGGCCAAATCTGGCAGCACCCACTTGGAATGAGGTTTGGGATGGCCTCATTCAGGAGCACAGTGGCCAGTTAGAAATGGTAGAGGAAAGAGGGGATACCTTCTCAAACTGATGGCCTTCTTGGCTTCCTTCAGTAGGACTTTGTTTTAAATCAGCCTTGCAGATAAAAATTAATTCCATCTTTTTCAAAGGAATGGAACACTACAGTTCTTTGGCAGATCCAAAATGATAGATGGTTATGTTCCCCCTTCTCTTCCTGCCACAGATAAATATACCTACCTAATCAGTTGAGCTTATGCTGCTACAAATATTAAGTTACATTCCCTGTTTGAAAAATAACATTTGACTAATGCTGTATTGTTGACAGAGCACATTCACAGTCATATAATATGGTCTTCCCAAGAGACCTAACATGTAAGTGCTATTAAGCCCCATTTTTAGATGAAGAAACTGCAGTGCAGATGTTCCAGTTCTCTCAACTACTAAGTGGCATAGCCCAGACTGACTGCTGGGTTTCCTGACAACAAATCCCATGGATTTTCCACACTAAAGAGTTGCCCTAATGGACTGTAATCCAGGGGCATGCCAGGGGAGTCTAGGGAAAGCTGGCTGGGCATTGAACACCTAGTGTAAAATCCACATGCAAGTAATTGAGATTGATGGGAAGTATAAATATATACTGTACACTTGTCCCCATCCCCCACAGTTTGTGACCTTCTGTTTTCCTGGATGCTCCAACCTGTGAGGCAGAGTACAGTCGGGCTTCATTATTACTCTCCAGGTGGCCAAGGTTATCTGCAGTGTTGATCTAAAATCCTAAAACTTCGCCCGGAAGTCAGGCAAAAAACAATGCTGAAACTCCATACTGTGGAAACAAGGTATCTAGCTGGATGCAGCTGGTAAATTCAGTCCCATGGACCTTGGGGTTTATTTTCCTTAGCAGCTGACACCATGTGTCTTTTGCATCCCTGGTGGTGCTTGGTGCTTCTGCCCAACTGGGCTCATTGAGGATAGGGATTAAGGTATGATTTTAGGGAATCTCAGATGGGCTGGCGTTCCCTGTGCATGTATGAACTGTTACTATAAAGTCATGTGACTGGCATTTTAACAAACTTATCAGAGCTTATGTATCCCAATGTATATTGTCCCCTTTGAGTAGTCCCAGCAGCATAAAGCATAGTTTTTCCAATGATGTTGCCATTGCTGAAAACATTTCTGGAACTGTCCTCAAAGTCTAGAAACATCTAGAAACAGACTCTTAAAATTTTAGAAGTCAAAGGGGCCTTAATGGTCATCTGTTCCAACCTCCTCCTTTTCCTAAGGCAGAGGCTAAGATCCAGAACAGTGACTCACTGATCAGGGTGACTAGGGAGTTACCATAGCACCTTCTTTTGATTCTTCTCAGGAGATTTGCCCTTTTCTCAGGGCACATCAACAGCATTTTGGGGCTAAAGAAGAGAAAATTTTTAAAGTTTGAAACTATTCAGAGCTATTTGAAACCTCTAGAAAAGAAGGTGGGTTATTAAGAGGGCAGAGATGGTTTGGAGTCACAAATGAGGAGCAGCTATAAAGCACTCAGCCATTTTCTTGTGCAGCTCATGAACAGTTCCCAAAGAGAAGTTCCAGAGATGTCTTAAGTATTGTGGTCATCATTGAGATATATGGAACCTCCTCAGTGACTACCTTGGTGGGGAACATCACTCACCTGGATGTGTGTATTTTGTGCTGTGTGTGTGTGTACACACACACGTGCAAATGTGTGCTTAAACAACATACATCATTCTCTTTACTTTGTATTCATACCACTTCAGTTCTGGGTCACACCAGCAACATATGCCTTCCAAGGGCTTCTGGAGGGCATGTTAGTGCCCAAGATAGAAGAGCTGGCACTGGTCTGCAGAGGACAGGGAGGGTGACCTTACTAAATGCCTATAGAGAAAGCATCTGTTACTGCCATTTCATGTATTTCCTTTTTGAGCTTAGTAGATATTATTGGAAGGCTAGTCCCATTGGTAATAGCAAAGACACTTATTTTTCCACTAGTCACCTTTTTCTATATCTCCAATGAGTTGAAAAATGCTTTTCAGTTGGAACTGAATTTTGTTTTCAGAACAAAAAGATATTTTTAATAGATAAAGATATATATTTTAAATATTTTCCCAAAGTAATACTTTAAGAAATTACATAGCAGTAGCAACAAGTTTTAGCTTCAGGTGTGGAATGAAAAGCAACTTCTTGATAAGCAGATATTCCAAATGCTAGGTCCAGCTTACCTTTTTCCCTTGTACCTGATGTGGTGTCTAAATGGTATTGATGGTTGTTGTTCTCCAAAATTCTTGCTGAGCAGTGGTCCCTCAAATATAGGCAGAGCAGTTTAGGTTAAAGAGGGAAGAGGATTGATCTTTAATCTGCTTGGCTTTGGAGCAGGAAGAAACTACTAAGGTATTATTTGTATTTCAGGATGCTGCCCATACTTAATAACCAAAACCTGAACCCTTTTTCTTTCTGAAAGAATTTCTGTCTTGTTGCTGGGTTATGAAGTTGGTTACAAATGAAGTTGTCAGCATGAACTCTTTGGGGAAGAGAGTGAGAAAGACAAGGAAGAATAGAATGATGGGAAGAGCTTGTGAGCTAGAGAGAGAGAGATACTGTTTCACAGAACAAATATGTTCCTCACAAGTCACTAGAGTCCAATTAACCATACAAATTTCCTGCACCCTACTAACGCTGTTCCTTGTGTATATGCATTCTGTGTTTTTTTCTTATTAAAGTGGGAGGGTTTTGAGAGGCGGGAGGGCAGATGTCATTCTGATGGAAAGTCCAGGAAGTGCTGTGCCCTGAGGAGGCGGCTCTCAATCCTTTTCTGTAGAGTGGGAAAGACGCTTTGGGAACATGTTCATGGCCCATTGATTGTATCAGCAGCAAGAAGTCAGTCATCTGGGCCTGTAGGGTTGGTATCAAATCAGGATTATGCATTCAGCCCTTGGCCCCTTTCATATAATTGCCCCCCCCCCCCCTTTTTTTTTTTTTTTTTGAAGTTTATTTCTTGGCTTAGGCTTGCTAGGAAAACCTTTCATAAGTGACTTCATTTATTACTTTTCTGTAAATATAATTTTTTTGTTTTGCCTGGAGGAACCACTAGTGATGCATGCCTTCTCTCTATTTTTGTTGTTCATTTTCCTAAAGAAAAAAGGCCCTTAAGAGATTAAAGCTGCTTAATTAATTTGTCCGATTACAAACTGAAAACTAAAATGGGAAGCTGCCACTGTGCTCGACTAATGAAGTTGATGACTGAAGGCTGTGCTGTTCATCCTTTTCATTCCATTTGACAGACGTTTCCTGAGCTTCAAACTTCTGTGCCAATCTTGTGCTAGGTTGTGGAGACACAAAAGATGGAAAGGACAGTCCCTGCTCTTAAGGAGCTTGGAGTCTGATGGAATGTATTTGAATGTGTATGTGGCTAGAGAGTTTGTTAATTGTTTTGTGGAAAGGCCATTTCTTTCATAGTGATGATCTTGGATAGTCCCATTCAGGATACTGTCCAGCACCCAGCATGCTGCCTTGCGCATTTTAGAGACCCTGTCAGTATTTGTGAGCTAGATAACAACACTGCTTTCCATTTCCTAAGTGATTACCAGAGGAGAATTAATTTTCTCCTCCAGTGATGACAGGACAATACCATCTCTTTGAGAGCCGTTCTTAGCCTAAGCCCCAGGAAATGAGGCAGGTTGTGTATCACTGACGTGGGCCAAGGAGGCCCACACCGCGACTTAGCAACTTCTTAACCTCCTTCCCAACCAGATCTCTCACCAGAGCTGGCAGAAACTTGGGATTTCTTTTCTTTTTCCTGCCTGGCTTTTCATTGGCATGGAGGACCAGCTTGGGGGGTTGTGGGGGGGTGGGTGGCAGATAGAAGGCTGGATCATAATTGTAGAATGTTACAGCTGGAATGGTCATGGAAATTACCAAAGTTAACCTTCCTCTTTTTCTTTTTTAGCAGATGAGGAACTTGAGGTCCAGTGCCCTGTGCTTTATTTTATACTGTAGTTTTCGAGGGTCTGACTAAACAGTCCTTAAAAATCACACACCCAATTTGTTAATGAAGAAGACAACCAGATGATACAGAAAGCTTTTTAACAGATTTTCTTCCTGATTCTTTTCAGTTAGAATTAAAATGTACCTATATTTCCTGAATACACACCCAGGTAGAGAAAACTCCCATAGTGTGAGTAATGTGAATATGGAATTTTGGGAAGTGATATATTTTGGTTGAAATAATTGTCATTTTACTACCAAGGGTTAAAACCCAGACCTTCATTTTTCATTGAAAATCAAGAACTCCTTAGGGGACTCAGATTTTTCTCAGCCAGCCTTTTCCTCATCAACCCATAGAATGATCTTTTGGCCTGGTCTTTAGGGGTAAGCATAGCTGGTTATTAATTCTTGCAACTCAATGAGAAAGCCAGTTTCTTTCTTTTGGGGGAGTGTGACTAGAGAAAAGGGCAGCTGAATAGATTTTCCTCCAAAGATGATCCAGAAATACATCTTTACACATGATTGTTACCCAGTGTAGCTTTCTGAGGAAGACTCTTCTGCAGAAAAGAGACTTAGAGAAATGCAGAAGTCACCAGTTTAGAGATTGGTAAATTAGATAAAGGAAAAAGTGCCAAGACCAAATGTGCACATTTGTCCCATGTATTAGCAGTATTTTTTTCTTCCTAAGAGAAAAATTTACTCACTCTGCTTCATGAGTAAATTCTTTCTTAAATGTCTTGTAAGTAAGGGGGCAACTTTTCACAGCCTTTCTCTTGTGACCCCAAACTCTGAGCAGGCCCCCTCCCTCCTTTTTCTGGTGTCTTAAATCAAGAAATAGTTGGACAAAGCCAAGGTAAAGTAAGGTGTGTTCATCTTCCTGTCCTCTCATTTGAAAAGAGATAAAAATGGCAATGCCTTCCTCAAATATCAAGCTGTTGGAGCTCAAGAATAGTTTTTGGGTGCTGGCTCTGGATTAATAGGCAGCAGTCAGACTCTCCCCTTGTTGGCACTGCCCACTCCCCAAGCTGTGCCACCAATGGGAGCAGAGACTCAGTGGGTTCAAGTCTGCATCAAACATGAGGCCACCAACTCTTAGCCTCCAGGAACACTTAAAGTCCTAGTAAGAGAATACATAATATGCAAGGGAAAAAATGATTATCTTAAATGCCAACTAATGGATTTTTTTTTCCCCCACCTGATTTGCTATTTACTCCCAACTCTTTGTACAAATACTGTTGTCCTTCAGGCCTTTTCTCTTCCTGCCTAGAAATAGAAAAATGGGTTGTGTATTGGTTTTATTCATCCTGCTCTCTGCATTAGAACCTGAGAAGGGGCCTGGATCCTTTTGAACTGCCACTGCTGGCTGCCTTGTCTCCTACTCGTCTTAAAGAGCGTTTTGACAAAGACCGAGGACTCAGAACGGCATGCCCTGTCAAGGATGCTTCTGCCAACAAGAAAATGATGCGGAATCGAGCTGGATGATGTGTTATTTAAACAGTACCAAAGTGCATTCTTCAATGTATGTTTGCCTGCTTGAGGAGAGGCCTAAATTGAGAATACAGTAAACTCATGAAAGTGAATATTCTGTTTCTAGTCAACGTCTTGTTTCTGGAGAACAATTGCAGACAAACCTGAGCTAAGCTTAGACTATGTGTATTGTTTGATTTTTTTGATGCTATCTTTGCTTTAGGAGATGTCCTGTGTTAGAATGTCTTGCTTTCACATCCACAATGATGGGAGAGATAAGGAGCTGGGATGGGATTTCCATAGTGTTTCCATGATGAACAGCTTCTTTTGAGCTCTAAGATAGTTCCAGTTTACAAGTGTCATTCTCATACTCAACTGTCCATATTTCTAATGAAGGCACCAAGAAGGTTTGAGTAAAGAACGAATATACAGGATGACATTGTCTTTGTGCATTACAGCTGTACTCAAAACATCTGATTTTTTTTTTTTTTTTTTTGAAATACTCTTTTTTGGAACCATTGCTTAGGAATTCACCAAAATCCCCTTCATGTCAGTTTCTCATCCAGCAGAGAACAAATGTATCCCTGTTCCATCTAAACTTAGAAAACCATTTTGAAAGACTGTTCTAAGAGTCCATGCCATACATGGTAAACCAGCACTTGGTCCAACCCCTTCAAAAGGAGTGCTGTTAAAATGATTTGCAAGAAACAGTGCAGCTATTTGGAGATATGAGAATGGAACTTGATTGTCCCTTGGCCCCCAAAGTGACAGCATTCTCTACATACCACACTTATTAATTCCCCTATAGCCTGGTGTGGTGAGTGGTGTGGCAGTCGTTTTACAGATGGGAAATTCTAGCCCTGAGAATTCTTCATAGCCTGCAAGCTGGGTGCTCTGAGTCCAGAGTCACTGATTGCTTTTTCTGCTGCACTGCTGTGCTCCACCACTGCCTTTACCTAACAGTGATTCTGCTTACTTTCTGGGTTGGACCCACTCCTCTTGGATTGGGTCTGGCAGAGCTAGAGAGACCAGACTCTTGTCTTCCCTGTGCAACCACTTTAAGAGTGGGAGGTATCCCAAAGCAGCATGAAATTTGGGGACACCGTCAGCATCCAAGTCAGTTGTCTCTCCTTTGGCCACATCTGACTCTTATAGAGTACTCATTGGCATCTTGGATAAGTGACTAGAAAAACAGGATGGGTCTACCTAATCTTGGAGTATTGGTTGGGAGGAACTGTTTCTTCTGGTTTGCTTTTGTTAGAACATTGGAGAAGGCTCAGAAGAGGGTGACAGCCAGCTTTCCATTTGCCATTGGGAAAGAAGGGATCTCTGGGTAAGAGCACAGGGGGAATGAAACATCCAGTGGTAGACCAGATGCAACAGGGAGGGTGGCTACTTTGATTAGTTATGAATTCTTATTCATCCGTTTGACAAATCTAGTCTGAGGCTTTACTCGCTGAGACTGACTAGGTCATGTCTCTTTAAAAGCAAAAAAACCAGGAATCCAAGAACTGGAATTTACTCACTCCAGAACCCTCAAAGTGTGTTTTTAACATCTTAAGGGCCTGTAGAGATTGAAACCCCCATTGATATGGGTAAGGTTAAATTACTTGCCTTGTATCATACCACCAGTAAAACATAGAGTTAAAAATTGAACCCTGGTAATCTAAGTCCAGATGCTTCCAAGATAGAAAAGAACAGACACGACTGGTAAACGGCTATACAGCTCCAAAGATGCAGCAAGACACCTGTATGTGAGGGTGGGTGGTGGAAAGTCTGATACTCTACCTCAGGATACTTGAAACAGCAGGCAAGCTGGTTACCCTGGGGTGCTGTTTTTTCTTGATGGGATCATGGTGTTTTTTTAAGGGAATGAAGAGGGCCCCCAGGGACTCACTCCTGGAGCTATTATCCTTTGTATGCCCAAGCAGCACGTGTGGGAACATGCTCAGCACTGGCTTCTACTCTCCTTAGCCATAGCTGTGTATAATGGTGTATAATCCCACAGACAGCTGGCATGAGCCATTTCCCATTCTTTCCAGCACATTCATTCAGTAAGCCTTATTTAGCACTTCCTGGACCTGGGCTGAGCACCAGAGGTATAGCCAGTTCTTTTTGCAATAAAGTGTGATAACTTCAATGAAATCATAGGGACAAAAAAAAAAAAAAAAAAATTCAGCTTGGGAGGAGAGTTCAAGGACACACTTGAGCTGAGGCTCAAAGGATGAGTAAGAAACAATACCTCCCATGTGGTCTAACCTAACTCTTTCTGGACGAGTGGCAGAGTCACTGGCTTCCTTCCAGGGAGCTCCACGTTGACAGTATTTGGTTATACATGAGGGAAAAGCAGCCAGCACTTGTACACCCACTCTGCAGACAGCCTCCAAAGTGGGAAAGCTAATCGGATCAGGAATTCAGAATGATCCTGTCAACGTGGAACTCTGGGCTGAGAGTAAGATGATGAAATGTAAAAATCCTGCCTTAGATACCAAAGGTCAATTTCAAGTATAAAAGAGGGAAAACAGTTCTGATATTAGTATCTATACAATAAAGGCAAAGGGGTAATGCCATTGATTTTAGGAGTGGTTGGCCTAAAGAAGTGCAGCTTCTTCAGGATGTTCCCATGTTGATGAAGGGTTGGCCTGGCTGGGCAGACAGAACAGATACACACAGCTCAAACTGCAGAGGTAGGGGCTTAGGAAGACAGCTCGATGGCCAGAACTGCCCAATAGCTTTCCCAGCAAAGAAAGGGCAGCCTTTAAAGCAGATGAGCTCCCTATCACTCAGTGTGCAAGCAGGAGCTGAATGATCTGTTGGGGCACTGTAAGAGGCTCCCTGCCTTGAGGTTGGGATAGCGATGTTCCCAGGAGCCTTTAAAGCCTGAGAGACTATGGTTTGACTGTTTCTGACTGAGGGGAGCAGTCCAGATGATTCTCCAGAACTTGAACACAGCAAGGCTTACAGTGTGAATGTTGAGGCCCATTCTTCCTAACAACAGGGGAACGGTGGTTTGGGGCCCCCGGGGATCCAGTTGGTGAGTCAGCAACATGCTGGGCCTCTGCACATAACTGCTGCTGTAACAATATATTGCCTGCGTCTGTTCAGGTGCCTGTGTGAATGGTAAAATTTTTTGTAAGTTGACCTGTGTATGTCAGTGTATGATTTCAATGTATGGTGTGGCTGGGTATGCTCACAGCTGTGTATTAAATATTTAACTGGCCACAGATGTGAGACTGCAGTTGAGTATGACGGTATGCAAATATTTCTGTGTCCTAATAGTGTTCACGTTTGGAATGCAGCAGACTCACCACTGTGCTTGTTGAATTGATGTCAGACCTGTCATCTGTCAGACCTGTGGCTACAAGATTGTATTTCTGTAATCACCTTAATTGCAACTTAGGTTGTGGGAATCTGTGCACTGCTGAGGACCTTTGATCCTTGTGCTACTGCTTCCTGGACCCTGGGAACGGTTGGCCTGCTACCCAGCTGTGAATTGTAAGTATCCTCAGGAGAGGAGCCTAGGAGCAAGGGCTGCCTGGGAGGCTAGGTCACCCCCAGCATCCATCCCCAAATGTGCATCCCTGGAATCCAGCCCCAGTGGGCTTCTCCAGACTCTATTATGAAGGTGCTGGCTACTGGACACTCACCAAGGAGGGTAGCCTTGGCCAGAACTGGTTTACACTGTGAGCCTAGGCAGACTTTGAACAGTCCCAGGGTCTGTTTTAGAACCACAGCCCAACGTGACTGCATATGGGACCTCAGTTTGTGTCCCGGATTGGAGAACTCTGTGAAACTCTACTTGAGCCTTCCCCTCTGCTTGTCCCACATTTGTAGCCATGGCCATCTGATTGCAGGGAATCCCCAAGTCTCCTCCCCTCTCCCCCGTGGAAAAAGCTGCCCAGCAAGAAGAGCACCATTTCTGGAGTTTGGAGGCCTGGTTTTGACACCGCGCCCTACCCCCGACCCCGCTTTTGTTGGCCGTGGGCAAGTTAGTCGACTTCTCTGAGCATTAAGATTCTTTGCGGCTTCTCTGTGCCATCCAACCCCTGTGCTCTATCCTAGCACTTATGACAGCTCTGTGACTAAGTTTCCGACAGGACTCTCGGAGTGCACGCATCAGTCGGGGATCTTACCCCAATGTGACACGCAGCAGTGGCCCTGGCCCGGGTTCCAAAAAATGCATGGCGACTTTGCTCTCTGCAACCATTCTTTATTGGGTGCTGGGCTAGGCGCCGCGTCCTGCCCGGCCCTGAGAGGAGAGGTCCTGACGAGCCCCCCACTGCCCGGTGGCCAGCAAGCGAGGCCGAGCCGAGCTCCAAGGCCCGCGGCGGTGCCCGCCGGCCACGAGGCGCAGCTGGGGCACGGAGCCCTCCGAGGGAGGCGGGCGCAGGCCCGGCCCAGCGCATGGCCCCGTAAGCAGCCCTAGCCTTTCGAGTTACTGGCTGGGGGCTCCTGGTAGAACTCATCCATGAACTCGAGGAAACGGCCTAATTTCGGCTGGCCCTCGACCAGCGCGGGGCGCTGCTGGGGTGGCAGGGGCTGCCCGAACACTGTCCGCATGGAGCCGCGCACCAGCTGCCGGTAGCGCGCCCGGAACTCCTTCAGCAGCCGCTTGGCCTCCAGATACTGCTTCTGGTTCACCAGCCGCTGCTCCGCCCGCCTTTGAAGGACCGCGCCTGCGAGAGAGGCACCGCCTGGGTTCCAGCCGCCTCCGCGGGGGGGCACCAGGCCCGCCCTGGTCCCACTCCACCCGAAGCGGCCGAGGGCTGGGTCCAGAGCCCATCATAAAGTGGGATGGGGTGGGAGGAGAATGTTAAGGGGACAAAAAAATGGCATCCCCAGCTTGGGGCAGTGGGAAGTCAGCGGTGTCCCCTCCTGATTCTATCTCAAGCCTTGGTTCTTGGCCTTAACACATTGTGTGACTTTAGGCAAATCCCTGCTCTGCCCTGGGCCTCAGTTTCTCCATCTGCACACGGAAAGGGCTGGAGCAAATGCTTTCTAGGGCCCCTTTCTGCTCTAACACAGCCCTCTGCCTCCCAGCAGCAGACAGGAGTAGACTGCTGGACCTCGGGTCCTGGCAGCTGAGGCTCCCTGGGGGCCAGAGCCATACCTAGAGGAGCCTCTGTAACGTTCCTGGGGTCCCGCATGCGAACGAGGATGTCATCCAGCAGCTGGGCCCGAGTCTTCCGCGGAGGTGGAACAGGGATCCTCTGGGACTGACAGAAGGTGAGAGAGGGTGTTACCCCAGGTTTATACTCAGACTCTCCTGGCCTCACCCCCTCATAGTCAAAGCCACAGGGAGGGGAGCACTTGGGGTCACTGGGAAAGCATGGTCCTTAGAGGGTATCCAGATGACGGCCACATCTGTGACTGTGGGGCTCCCGAGGGGCTACTGGCACACTCAGTGAGGTGGATGTTTACCCGCTTCTGCTTGGGGAAGAAGGGTTTCTGAAAAGTGTCCATCTTGGGCTTGGAGGAGCGGTACGTGAGCGGGTGCTTCAGCATGTGCTGCAGGGCCTGGGCATTCTTCTGGATCCCTAGGGCAGGGAGGCAAGGGGTGGAGTCAAGGCAACCCCCCTCCCCTGGATGCCTCCCAATTTCTCCATTCCCCAGTCTCATAGCAGCCCTGGGTAAAAAGATTTGAGAGGTCCCAAGTAGAAAACACTGCTCCCAGATATCTCCCCAACCTGTCACAGTGCCTGTAGTTCCATCATTCATTCAGTGAATACTTGTCCTCTGTGAGCACAAATCCTAATGGAAAATTAGCACTGGAGCGTGGAGAGGGGCTGACCCAGTGTGACCTCATGAATCTCAGGGGGTTGCCTTACAGGAACTGTGATACCCAAAAGAGCCCAGCTGAGTGCCAGTTCTTTTAGAAGCACAGACACTGTTAACACATCAGTCTGAAATAAGGGGCTCAGAGAGGGAGTTGCCTCCATCGCCTCAAACCAAACGGGGAGGAGGGGTGGAGGGAGAGGTTGGATGTTCACTTTGGGTCTTACCTGTGCTGGGTAGGCGCTCAGGAATGGGCCAGTCTGGGTGTTTGTTCAAACCCTTCCTTAGGAGAGACCTTTCCAACCAGAGCAGCTGGGTCTAGACCCACTGGAATCTCTAAACAAACCTTAGCTCCCTAAAAGCCAGTGAAGGCCCAGGCCAGGTCAGGGATCCTCTTTGACAGACGTTTAAGACAGGAGACAGCATACCCTGGCTGGGAAAAGAAGGCTTGGCTCCAGCCTTGGCATGGCCCTGATTTGCTCTGGGCTGTGGAGAGGGTCCCTTGCTCTGGATCTAGCCTTCTCACATACCCTTTGGCTCAGTGAAGTCCGGATCAGGCTTGGCCGTCAGCAGCTCCTCATAGCCGTGGTACTTTTTGGGGATGGAGGCAGATGGGAGCTTCTTCCGAGTCCTCTTCACCTCTTTGGGTGCTGTTGATGGTCTCCTCTGGTCTTTCTCCTTCACCTCTGAGTCATCCTTCTGGATGGAGGTAGGCAGCCCACTCACCTGTGCCCAGGAGAAAAAACACATTCATTCATTTCATTAACACTCCTGAGCATAAAAGACTCAGCTCTGTGCCGGTCCCCAAGCTGGGCCCTGGGGACAGTCACTGCCCTCATTAGTTCACAGACTGGGTGAGAGGAGGCAGACATGAAAACAATAACCATATACTTCAATAAATACAATGACAGAAGCGATCACAAGGGCATGGATGAGCCCAGAGGAAGGCCTAACCCAGCCTGGGGGACCAGGAAGCCTCCTGGAGGAAGCGATGCCTTAGCCTGAGCTAAATTTTGAAGAACTAGGAGAACTATTTCTGGGCAGAGGTGGGGAGTGGAGTGGGCTGCAGGTGATAAGAAAGGCTGATGCTGCAGGCAAGGAACGGCCTAGGCAAAGACGCAGAGGTAAGATACAGCAAGGGGCATTTTGAGGAATTAAGAATTGGTATAGCTGGAATGCAATGTGAAAAGACAGGCAGCTGGAGCAATAAGCAGGGCCCAGATCAGTTGTTGTTGGTTGCTGTCCAGTCAGCTCAGACTCTTAGCAACCTTATGTACAACAGAACGAAATGTTACCTAGTCCTGCGGTATCTCCATGATTGTCGCTATGTTTGAGTCCATTGTTTTAGCCACTGTGTCAATTCATCTCACCGAGGGCCTCCCTCACCTTCACTGACCCTCCACTTTACCAGCCACGATGTCCTTTTCTAGCAATTAGTCTTTCCTGATGACATATCCAAAGTAAGCAAGTCAAAGTCTCACCATCCTTGCTTCTAAGGAACATTCTGGTTCTATTTCTCCTAATACAGATTTGTTTATTCTTCTGGCAGTCCACAGTATATTCAATATTCTTTGCCAACACCACAATCTGAATGCATCAATTCTTCTTCTGTCTTCCTTTTTCATTGTCCAGTTTTTGCATTCATATGAGGCGATTAAAAAGACCATAGCTTGGGTTAGGCACACCTTAGTCACCAAAGTAACATCTTTGCTTTTTAAAACTCTAAATTTGCAGATTTGCCCAGTGCAATATATCATTTTATTTCTTGACTGCTGCTTCCATGGACACTGATCATTAATCCAAGTAGAATGAAATCTTGACAACTTCAATTTCTTTTTAATTTATCATGAGGATGTTTATTGGTCCAGTTGTGAGGATTTTCGTTTTCTTCACATTCAGGTATAATTCATACCTCAAGTCAGATCAGTAAGGATCTTTAAATGCCAAGCTGAAAGGTGTGTTTTTTTTTCTTCCAAACATCATATTATATAATTCATAAATATTTCAGTGTGTCTCTAACAAATACAGAATAAAGACTCTTATTTTAAAAAAAACAAGGCATAACCACAATGCCATTACACACTTAAAAAATAATAACAATTATACAGATGAGGTTTTTAAAGCATCAAAACAGTAAAGAAAAGAAGGAAATCTCCACAAAGGTTAACTGATTCATCTGAGGAGTAGTAAAATCATAAGCATTATTTTGGTTTTGGTTTTGTTTGTATGCATTTTCTTTATCTTCACTGTAGTGGCCAGTCATGAAGGAGTTTTAAGGAGGTGAGTGACCTAGACTGAGTTCACATTTTTAGCCCACCCTAATGGTGTTGTCCACCACCCATCTGTCTGTTGTACTGTGGTGGCTTGTGTGATGCTAGAAGCTCTGCCACTGGTATATCAAATACCAGCAGGGTCACCCATGGTGGACAGGTTCCAGTGGAACTCCCAGACTTAGACCAACTAAGAAGAAAGGCCTGGTGACCTACTTCCAAAATCTCCCAATGAAAACCTTATGGATCACAACAGAACACTGTCTGACTTGCTTGCTTTGGACATGCCATCAGGAGGGATCAGTCAGTTGCTGAAGGAAGACATCATGTTTGGTGAAGTAGAGGACTGGCGAGGGTTACCCTTGGTGAGACGGACTGGCACAATAGCCGCAACAATGGACTTGAACATGCCAGTGATTGTAAGGATGACACAGGACAGGGCAAAGTTTTTTTTCTCTGTTGTATATAAGGTTGCCATGAGTCAGAGCTGACTTCACAGCAGTTATTTATCTATCTATCATCTAGCTAGCTATCTAATGGTTTTATAAGAGATATATATATGAAACCTGTATTTCATATAGGGATGCAGTTATACTCTTCATTAAAACTATGGCTGACTCAAGAAGAAATAGAAAATCTGAATAGACCTATAACAAACAAAGAGATTGAATTAGTAATTTAAAAACTTCCTACAAAGAACAGCCCAGGCTTAGATGGCTTCACTGGTATAGTCTACCAAATGTTTAAAGAATTAACACCAACCCTTCACAAACACTTCCCGAAAAACAGAATAGGAGGGAACGCTTCCCAACTCATTCTGTACCCTTTGGTTATTATCAAAACCAGAGACAGACATCACAAAAAAGGAAAACTATAGACCAATATCCCTCATGAATATAAATGCAAAAATCCTCAAAAACTAGCAAACCAAGTCCAGCAACACATAAAAAGGATTATACACCCTGACCAAATGGGATTTATCCCAGGAATGCAAGGTTGGTTAAACATATGAAAATCAATTAATGTAATACACCGTATCAATAGAATAAAGGACAAAAACTACATGATCATCTCAATGGATGCAGAAAAAGCATCTGACAAAATCCAACATCCCTTCATGATAAAACAACAACAGCACCTCCCACCCCCACAACTCAACTAGGAATAAAAAGGAACTTCTTTAGCCTGATAAAAGGCATCTTCAAAAAAAAAACACAACTAACATACTCATAATGGTGAAAGACTGAAAATTTTCCTCCTAAGATTAAGAACAAGATAAAGATGTATGTTCTCTGACACATCTTTTCAACATTGTACTGGAAGTTCTAGCCTGGGGAATTAAGCAAGAAAGAGAAATAAAACAAGGTATTTTTTCCCCCAATGACATGGTTACTCATAATTGACTGGACTGCTTTGGCTGCTAGGAAGCTCAGAATTGCATTTTGGCAATACACATCAGTTACAAGAACAGCAATGCATGGTATGCATATTTGAGTGACAGAATTACACTTGGACCTACTATTTCCTTTCCTGTCAATATTTTCCTTACGTCCAACTTTCTCAATTGTTTATTTTTAATACTTATTTGTTTACACTCTGCTTTGTTCCAAAGAGTTTCTGAGATAGTTCATAGATACTTTTATACTGTATGAATTTATATGTCCCTACAAATAATTTGTGAAATAAAGAGATGGATGAGTAGACATAAATGTGTAGATGGATATACATCTTGGAAAGATCTAGCAGTGGGAAAGACTGGAGGCAGGGAGATCAGCGAGGGGGATAGTACAATAATAAAGCTCAAGGGGGCCCCTGCCAACTCCTCCAGCCTTATATTCCCCTTTCCCTACACGTCACCCTTCTATTCCACTGACAATGAACCATCTGTGGCTCCTGCACATACCATTTTAATTTCCTTCCTCTGTACCCTGAACTTCATGCTGTCTGCTCTACCCAGAGTGAGCTTACTGCCCACGTCTTCTTCTCATGAACACCTGCAAAGCTCGGCTCATCTGTACCTCTTCCAAGAAGCCCTCCTGGACTGGGGCAGGAGCATCCCGCCTTCCTTTAGGCTCCAAGCCACTGGATTTTCCTCAGTCTCAGCACTGATTCCATATATTTTTCCTGTCCATCTACATCATTAGACTGAGAGCACCTAGAGTACAGGACCCACGTCTGATCCACCTGTGTTCCCAGGCTCCAGAGGCAGCATCAGAAGTGAGGTGACCTTAAACAGATAGGCAAAGGCAGCAGCAAGCCCTCCCAAAAAACTGATCAGACCCACACCCCAGCCACACCCCAGATGTTGCCTGTGCCATAGAACCATGACCTGTCCCCATGTGTGTCCCCACCAGTAGCCTTGGGTCAATGGCTCTCCTAAAAAGGATTGCAGGCCTTGCTAGGGGTGCTGCTTTCTGGTTTCCAGACCTGCCTATGCTTGCTCCCAGCCACATGGAACAGTCCAGCCATCTAAGGGCTGCCCAGGAACCTGCAGGAGCTGGGAGAGGTGGGCAGGGGCAGGTGGATCCAGGCACCTGGGTCAAGAAGATGGACTCTACGCTTCTGGTGTCCTCATCTGATGGGTGCTCTGGGCTGAGGTGTCCAGCTACATCACTCGGGCGGGACATGGTCTCTTCGCTATGCACGGTGGAGTCGGAGCAGATGGGAGGCAGCCGCACGAAGGTCCGGCGGCACACAGAAAGGCCCTCGGGGCCCTCGATGGGAATCTCTGACTCCACAGAAGTGCTTTTGGCAATAGGCAACTCTTCACCGGGCCCTGCCTCTGGCTCTGACACATCCCTTGGCGGAGGCTTGACTGCGGTCACAGATGGGTACTGAAGCATCAGAGGCTGTTTCTTCAGCACCTTTGGGATTTGGGTTTTCACCTGTCATGAGAGAAATGCTAGGTTGGATTTGCTCCCTAATCAGGAGTCTCTCCTCTTGGACCTCACCAGCCTAAGGACACTTGGTACAGTGGTCAGAGCACTGGGTAAGGACCCATGGGGAAAGGAGGAGGAGGACAATCACACTTATTGGGCATCTACGATGTACCCTGTGCATGACATATATGCTGGTTTCTTTACATTCAAAACTACCTGTGAATAATTATCCTCATTTTAAAGATGAGGAAACCAGGCTCAGAGAGGTAAAATGACTTGTCCAACATCGCAGAGTAATTCCGGCAGAGTGTGGACTATTGAATCCAGTCCTGGGGACCAGGCCTCATTCTGCTTCGCTGACTATATCACCCTGGCCTTCTGTTTAACTGGAGCCCTGGTGGTGCAGTAGTTAAGAGCTTGGCTGCTAACCAAAAGGTCAGCAGTTTGAATCCACCAGCTGCTCCTTGGGAACCCTATGGGGCAGTTCTACTCTGTCCTATAGGGTCACTATGAGTTGGAATCGACTCGATGGCAACAGGTCTTCTGTCAAACACACTGCCCTTGACTTTCCTCAGGGAAGCGCCTGTATTTTCTGGAGGGTGATACCACTAGGCCCCTTTCGGGATGCAGGTCCCTGTGCCTTGTATAAAGATCCATAATGCAAATCTCTCAGGGTTCAGGGTCAAGGAAAGAACTTCTTTCCTGCTGAACTGCTCAGTTACCTTCATTAGCAAAAGCCTGTCACCACAATCGCCCTCCTTCGCCTCAGCTCCCAGGAGGTCAATGCTAAGTCTGGTGTCCATGTGCTTAATTCCCCTCAGCTCCCTATTTTTTTAAAAAATTCTTTGCCTAAAGTGTTTGGTCCACTCAAGTCTATACTTTTACAGACTGTGTAGTATAGTTGAAAGACCTGAAGCAGTGCAGTTAGGAAAATATGGGCTGGATACAGTTCCACCCCTTT